CAGGTCTTCGTATTCAAAGTAGATTAATCAGAGAGAGAGAGAGAGAGAGCGGGAGGAGGAGAACAAGCTGATGTTGCATGATTTTGTAGGTTTTTGTTCAATTGGTTGGATGTCTCAGCCGCTAGGCACTCATACTCAAGAAGTTCGATGACAAGATTGCGAGCCTGAGGCCGCTTGTCGACCGTTCCATGTTTGGAGCCGGTAGGTAGGTTCGGAGTACCAGCTGAAGTCGCCTATTGAGTTTGGCCATCGGCTTTGAACTTTGAGCCTTTTGTTTTTGGATTGTTTGATGCAATTTGATGGCCAGTGAGTCAAGGTGGCTACCGATTTGGACATACATGACTTAATGCATGGCTTGCTGTTCACCTGCATATATATATAATAATGCACTACGTAATCCTAAATTAAGAGGTAATTGGACCCCACGCTGGGCATTGTCCTTGGCACTTCACATTTGCCAGGATGCTGTTGTTCACCTCCTAAGTCAGTGCGATGTCCTCCTTGTGCTTCAGAAATAAGTCAGAAAATTTGGTCTCAGATATCATTCTTTGCACTTGATCCGTTCAGCTCAGCCGAGGCAGTTGTTGCTCCAAGATACTCTCATGAGCTCGGAAGAGTCACTCCCGGAGATGACGATGGAAGAGAAGCTTCAAAGAAGCACCATCATGTCAGTGCCCGCCTCCGCCGCTTTGAGCGCGGAAGGTTTGGTTTTTGCTTTTTGCGGGGCAGAATGGACCCGAGGAGGGGCTCGTTCAACATCTCCCAAATCGGATGAATTTGGAACACCTGCACTCCTGCTAGATCGTCGATCTTCATGTGTCTAAGATTTGTTGGTCGATGCTGCTGTTTTCTAGACGCTTTCGTGGGAACGGGTCTCTTGTTTTCTATTCATTCCAAGAAGCTGGGCAACATACCAGGACCCTCCAAGCTGTTTCTGGTGCCCTGTCCGGGACACGACCGACCGGAGGACCGGTCGAAGAGTGGCAGCATGGTACCACTGGTACCACATGCAACATGGTACCCATCAGTCATTCCATCTGATTCCCAATGTAGGATGCAGTTTCGTCATCTCCCTTGCACTGCGAACTCGTGGTGCACCATTTTGGTCGTCCATGTCGACAGCTTTGCTTGTTGCTCCGGACGGCTCTCCCGGACCGACTTCGTCGTTGGAACCAGTCCGACCTCCGCACCTCACAGCTCAGTTGGTTCAAACTGAGTTGATCAGTTTGTTCGGTCCAATCTGAGCTTTCACTTTCGGTCAGACTGGACTTGAGGAGAACTGACCGACCTCGACGACGGGAAAGGCACCCGAGAATCGGAAGCGACGGTTTCGCAACGAGGCCTGGGTGGCGCCCAGTGTTGAGGTGCCGACGAGGAGCACGAACGCCTCAATGCCAGGAGCGATGGAAACCCAGTGAAAACTGGGAGGTTTGGGTGGGTTGAAGGAGTTGAAGAGGGGCTATAGACGTTATATTTCAAAGTATAGTAGATGTCAGTTCAATGACCGAGTGTTTTGGTTTCTGATGAGGGTGCGGGAGTTTACTTATGGTGATGAACATGCTCAGGAAGGCTGTTCTGTTCATTTCCGATGTTCACCAGCTGCACGTGGGTGTGGCCGGGTGCACCAGTGGCCGTGCGCCAGGACTTGTGAACGAAGACAAGGTTGAGGCCTTCGGTTTTTCTTCTTCCAGCGGCCGTTCGGGTGGCTGCTATGTTTGGAAGGGTGCACCACTTAAAGCGAATGAGGGCCTTGGGAGGGGGACCTTTTTGGTGCCCTATTTCAGGTGGTATTATAAATTCGGATTTAAGTTTGACCTGTGGCACATTCCCACGCCACTCTGTAGAAGCCCGTCCTTTCCATTTATACGACTTCACTTCTCCTACGGCGCAGCGCGAAAGCAGCGCGTGGGCCAGGTCTTCAGTAGCTTACCCACAGTGGCCGAGCGCCGGAAGAAGCACATGGCCTGGATCCACAAGAGCCAACCAGAGGCCCCCCAAGAGCGAAGAGGACCCCTTCGTCCCTCGTGTCCCCTTCGTCTTCGTCCTTCGCGTGACGCGGCGTGGTGAGCGAATCGACCAACGAACTCTTGAGGTGAACGGTCGGCTTCGTCTCGCGCAGGTCGTGTCGTTCGGATGGCTGCAGTGCAGGATGGGGTCATGATAGGAGATGGGACCCAAGAACCCGTCATGGTCCACCAAAACGCCGCTCACGGCGGCCTTGGGATGCTCTTCTGGTTTTGGGGGTTGTGTGAAGAGTCGGGGGCTTGTTGTGATCTACGGTTTTTTTTGTGGACTCAGAAGTTGAAAGATGGACACGGACACATCAGCAGCTAGCTCGAGAGTGCTAGCGCGTAACACGTGAGGGGCCAATCTCCGCGTGACACCCGGTAGTTCTAAAATGTACTAAAATGCTGCAGGTGGTCAGGGAGGGTCCTTGCCGAATTGTCCTTCGCAATTCGACTCAATTTCCGTGGTGCGTAGCTTAACCAGTCGCCCTCAGTTTTTGACAAGCTGGGTTTCGGCTGGGGTTAGGAGGAGAAATGCTCCACAGGTCGCACTGAGAAGCCTCGTCCTCTCGTTCTCTCGTTCTCGACACTCCAGGACGACAAGCAGCCACGGGTGTTCTCACAGCTGAGCGCCGAATGTGCGCGTGATGCAGTGAGGCGAAAAGCCGTTGAAAACTTTGGGCCACCCCCACCAGCTTCCGATACTCGTTGGGCTTTGATTGTGACGCCTGGCAGATCATGAGATCGAGATCGAGATATTTGGCCAACATATTGACCAACATATTGAGATTATGGCCCTCACTGAGGCTGATACAAAACAAGTATTTCCATGTACTTCCCCCATTCCATGTCATGACGTTTGGTAGAAGACTCAACCCTGTAGTTCTTATTGCCGTCAACCAGCGGCAACTAAAATATACAACATGTATCAAAAGTTGTCCTGTGTTGGTTGAGATTTGCCTACCAGAGGATATTACGTTGGTCGGAGGAAATGTTCTATCGCCAAATCCAATCCCAGGAAACATCCTTACTTCGAGCGCATGTCCTTGATGATGATCTACTTCAACGCTTTATGGATTGCGATTGACATTGAGTTCAATAAGGCGGAGATGGTCTTGAAAGCCACGGAGCCCTTCCTCATCATGGAGATCTTGTTTACACTCTACTTCAGTGGTGAGCTCTTTGTGCGGTGGATGTCCTACAAAAAGACCCGGCAGGCCTTTATGGACTCGTGGTTCCTTTTTGATCCTAGACCGCATGGGATGCATGAAGGGTTTGGGAGATCTTTGCACACCATTCTTGGAGATTCCTCACTGATTCGGCTTGGAATGAACCAACTCCCTCCCCATTTAATCGTGAATCTACAGTTTCCATTCTCCTGCCAGCAGTTGAGCCACTCCCATGCGGTTTTTAAAAGCAAACATAACATCGGCATCTTTTTAAAAGCAAACATCGGCATTTGTCGTAATCCATCGAGTCAATGGCTGCGGAACCTTGATCCCTGGCCACCTGGCCACCCGGTCGGATGCCATACGTTCGCTTTTCGCAACTCGCTTGGCGTGCCGAGTTGGAGCCCCCGAAACCTCTGGGCGAGCGACCAAATCAACGCAAGACCCAGACACGACTAATGGGACTGCCATATATGCCGCCCCATTGACCCTTTTCAACCACCCCAACTGATCGGTATATATGGCATTTATGGAATGTTTGGGAAATCAACGAAATAGAACACAAGCTTTGTATGAAGGCTGTCGCCGTGGATGTTCGAGGCGAAGTGAGGGTCGTGGAATCATGGCATACTGACTGTATGCGTATGCATCATTCGTCGGAAAAACTGGCCACCTCAAGGAGTGGAACCTGCAAGTCTCCTGAGGTGAGGTGTGTATCGGATTGGTCGTCCATCATGGAAGGTCTCTCCAAAGAAAGGAGCTCACTGGGGTTGAGGCGACCAATAAAGAACTGATGAAATTCCTACATGGCGACACCCGCTTGCCAATATATCATATAGAGATTGAGCGACATCAGATGATCAGTTGTCCCCCCACCAACATGTTCCAATCATCATCCTTCATCTAACTTGGGCACGACACAAGTTAAGCCGCTAAGCCATCTTACTTTCTCAACGTCCCTTTCCCCCAAACAAGGGATCCCGAACGGGATGTTTCTCGAAGAATCCTCTCGATGTGTGGCTACACATCCACGTGTCCATATATGTTCCAAAACCTGTGGGTGATGTTTTCCTCATGACTTCGCCTTCACCTAGGATTGTTTGCTGGTGACCATGATGCTCTTGGAGACCTGGCTCATCCCTATCACCGCGTTGCTCATCGAGGGGGGCTCCTTGACCGGCGGCTCCTTAAGCCGCTCCGCCTCTGTGCTGCGCATCGCGCGGATTTTGCGCGTCTTCCGCACCGCGCGGATCATTCGAGTCGCCCGTGGCCTGGCGAAGCAACGGGAAGAAGGGGCCGGAAGGAGCCGGGAGCCGGACAGGAGTGGATCGGTGACCGGAAGAAGATGGAAAAATGGTGGGTTTTGCTTGGGCCCTGGGAGTCAAAGACTATAAAAAGAAGGGTCTGACGAACGGGGACCTGAGTTTGGGAACTTCCTTTACTTCAGCCGGTCAAGATATAGTCGAACTGGACTTCTAGGGTGGGGTGATGGGTGATTCTGAAACCTCCCACGGCGGGTGCCTTCCCCGAACGACGGGTGCCTTCCCCGTCCTTCGCACCGAAGACGCTCCGACATAGGGGAACTACTCAGGAAGGGACGGCTAGGTATGCAACTTGGGGAGAAGAACGGAGGAAGAACTGAAGAAGTGCCGAACTTCAGCTCAGTGGCGCCTAGTAGCTTCATCTAATGCTAAGCCGATCATGTGCTGTCCATCGTTGACGACCCTACTCAGACGACGGGGGGGGTGGCAAGGGTCAAGCGGATGGAAGCACTTGGGGCTCCACGTCAGGCTGCGCATGTTTCGCCGCACACTGGAGCAATCCAGGATTCACAACCCCACACACTCACTTGGCTGGGGATTATGGGGTCGCATATTGATGTACCAAGTATAATAGAGACATAAAACATGCTCAAATTCTATCTATCTAATCTTACCTTATTTTATCCTATTTATTACTATACTATATGATCCTATATGTGTTTTCTAATTTTTTATGTTCATCTATTCATCCATTCCATCCCATCCCATCCTATCCTATTTGCATCCTATTTATTTGTCTATGTGTCTACTGTGTCATACTGTATCATTAATCTATGTAAAATCTATCTACCTGCCTACCTATGCTTGCTGGGGTTTGCCCAAATCACGCTGCTTGGGGCATGATTTGTGACTCTAGGATGCCCAAAAAAAAAGCAGCATGAGGATAGCTGCCAAGCTTGCTCTTGCCTTCATCTTGCTCTTCGGGACATCGAGCATCGACCAGGACCAAGGCCATGCGGTCGAGGTCAGGTCATGAGGCTCCCAAATCCAGACCCAATAGAGGTTCTGTACCGTTCGGCCGGAAGAAACAACAAACACATAGGCTATATGCCAGAGCTGATGATCCTGGTGAAAGGCCTCTTGGAGACATCGAAGGGCAGACGGGCGGAGTCCTTTTTTTTTTGCTGCAAGCAGCGATGTGGAGGCCTACAAATACCCCCCAGGGCCACATGGAAGTAGATTCGGAAAAGGGCCTTTCCAGGGGCCATGCCATCCACTTCGAGGTTTGCAGTCTCACATGCACCATAACGTCACGCAGCTTGTACATCAAGCAAGACTTAGCTTGACAGATGCCTTTAGATTAAGACTACACAAAACCCGCATCACATGGACCAAACGAGGTCCCTCTCTGTGAAACCGTTCGGTGGAACCGTTGTTTCATGCGTCCGATGTTTTTGGTGTCACGTGAAAACTGAATTCATGCAGTTATATGTGCGGTTTGCTGTGGGAGTCAAACTTGTCAGTGTCCTTGTTTTGAGCTTCAGACATTTATGAGCCTCAAAGGTGCAATTGCTGGAACATGATTTGCCGCAATGGCAGCACCGTGCATTGCCGCAAGGATTCGCCACCCAGATGATATGCATTTGCGATGTTTCGACTGCCAACCAAGGATTGATCGTTGCCGCCAGATCCGTGTTCTTCACATTGGTTCTGTTGCTGCTGATCACCTATGTCTTCAGCATTGCGCTCGCACAGCTCAGTGTCGAAACGCATCTCAAGGAGAAGTACTTCAACACCATGCCAACGGCCGTGTTGAACCTGGTTGCACCTCGGGCTGCGGTCACGAACGGTAGCCCTTTAGGGGATACCTTGAGTTTGTCTTGCGAAGCAAGTGTTGGGACGTCCGGGTCTAATAATTGATCACTCAATTCAGACCCCCCCCCCCCCCAATTTATTTTTTAAAAAAAAACCCCCCCCCCCTCCCCCCTCTAAAATCAATTCTCTCCTGGAGAACGTCTTCGTGAGCCTCTCATGACTTCAGGATAGTTGAAAACCTCTTGAACATTCAGAAAGGGTGAATATGAAATTCTAATCACGAAAGGTGTTCCCCGAGGGGATACATACCTAGAGTTTGTTTTGTGAAGCACGTCAATTCTCTCCTGGGGAGCGTCTTCGTGAGCCTCTTATGGTTTCAGGATAGTTCAAATCCTATGATGTTCCGATTCAATGCTCACCGATGATCTGAGCCATGGGGCAATTTTTTTGTTTTCCTAAGATTTTTGTTGAACATTTCGAGAGCATATGTTTGAACATTTAGAGTGCATATGAACATATATTTACGAAAGGTCGCCTCCGAGGGGATAAATCACCATGTCGAACATTGCATTTTTGTTCCTGCCTCTCGCGTTCTCTTCTCTTCCCGCTGTCCTACCTTTCGTGTCTCCCTCCTCTCAAGTTCATAAAACACCTGACTTCCGAGTATTGAACCTCTCTTGCTGACCTAAAAGCTAGGTGAACTTGACGTTTGCTGCTGCAGATTGAATGACACTGAATGGTCCACGAAACTTGAATCTTGCAACGACCGACGGTGAATCCACCACTCGACCCGAGTTTTCACACACTGAGGTGCAGTGTGTGATGCCGGACCAAGAGGAGTTCTTCACAGATGTTGCAGATACCAGTTGGGTCATGGGTACGTTCCATGGTGGCAAACCCGTTGGCACCAGCGCCGGTGCGGTTTCTGTCTCAGATAGGACATCAAGATCCTCCTCCTGTTGCGGCAAGGAAAGCATGGATTTATGTGTAGCGTCCTTGCTCCTCGTAGCGATGCCAGGAGCCCCTAGTAGCTTCTTGTTCCTAGTAGTACGGCCAGGAGCCCCTAGTAGCGTCCTTGCTCCTAGTAGTAAGGTTATTCTGGTTGATACTCGCGGCTCCAAACCACAAGCTTGAGAAGCTACATTAGCGAAGTGTGTGTGTGTGTGAAGCCCGTCGCAAAACAGCGGGAAACGGGGCTCAACTCGCAGCCGGGCGAGTTGACGGCGCGTTGAGGTGGTTGGGGGCATGATTTGATCCATGAAGTCCGCCAACAAGGGCCGGGTGTGCTTGGGGTTTCTTTGGAGGATGCGGCTAGAAACCCTCCCCCGCAAAAAGATATCCCGGCAAGAGCCCCCAAACAGTGTGTTTGAGGTCTAGAGGTGTAGCAGCAGAAAGTCTAGGGATCTAGACGCATTGAGGTCAAAAGAGGTGATGGTGGTGATGAAGGTGAAGATCGTGGTGATGGTGGTGGATGGGGGTTCGCAAGCTGGTGGGAAAGGTCCACAAAGCACTGCGCCTGCCACAAAATTTGCACCTCATGCCACTTCAAGGTCGACAAAGCACTTCGCCTGCCACGATTTCTGAAAACGAACCACATGTCCAAAAGTAACGATTCACTCAAATTCACTCACCTGCCACGAAATCAGAGCATGCCTAAGACCACCATATCCAAAGCACTGCGCCTGCCACAAAATATGTATATACATCAACATCAACCTGCTCCGATTTCCCGCGCCTGTCACGAAAAGCTGACTTTAGTCCACCACAGCACGAGGCTTCCCTTGCGCCTGCCACGAAGGGTGATCACCAAGTCCAAAAATGCGCACGACACCACAAGGAGAGCGCGCCTCCGTCAAGCGCCATCCCCAGGGCAGCGATTCGCGCGACCTGGCGCAGAGAAATCGCATTCGGAGATCTCAGAACGGAACTTTTCTGCGAGCCTGCGCAGCCAAAACGCCCAGCTCAGAGAGTGTGCCCTGATCGAACCCGAGCTTTTACACTTACCGTAAGAACCCCTCAGTGTGGACACACTGTTTGGGGAACAATGAAATAATTTGGTTGGCAGCTTGATCTCAGGTAGGTTGCTGCACTCTTTTCCGAGGCTTGTGCTGATCTTCGTTCTCGTGGGCTCGCTGATTGTCATGAATATGTTGGTTGGGATTCTTGTTGAAGCGGTGCAGACAGTCGCAACCATGGAGCATGAGCAGATCCATGTGGCTTGGATGACTGGGGTTTTTGGGTGCTGACTGGGACAGACACGATAGACGTTGGATGATGATGGAGCAGGGCCATTGCTGGAGGAAACGGGTTGAGACGGACATGAAGAACATGGGGTGGGTTGATGATGTTTTCTCTTACGGATGTGCTTATTCCGTAGTTTCCCTAGCCATCCCAGTTCCCGGCCTCCTTAGAACGACCGGAACCAACGCTGCGGGGACCAATCTTGGAACCATGAAGCATGAACCATCCAAAATGCAAAGGATCGTTTTTTGAATGGAAAGCCTGTTCCAATTGCGAAGCCGGAGTTCCAAAGTGCGCTCGCCACATGTTGCATTGGAGGGGTAGCATTTGATGTGTCACCTGCGCCCTCCAGAAATCTGGCCGGTGCGTTGGGTTCAAGTGGCGAGACCTCATGGTTACGTGTCGAGGCCCGAGACAAAGGAGGTTTTTCCGCTGAGTTTGGCACGGGTTCCTAGGTCACAGTTCCGGGCTCCTTGTTCGCCCTTCGTCCTTAGTCACAGTTCAGGATAATTCCGGTTTCAACCCACCTTTGACAAGTTCATGGCCAGTAACGGACTTATGGGCCTGGGATATGAATAATGGGTATGATACATGAATTCGGGATAGGTAGAGCCTTCCATTTTTCAGCGAATGGTTGGATTTGCCCAAATGGGTTTGATATCGCCTTGTGGGGCTCACCCTTTCCCTTCATGTGAAGCACGCTGTCCTGCCACTGTCCCATGAACAATCCCAGGTGGACTTCGCCAAACGAGCCGCTCGGCGTGGCGAACGGCGGCCGTGTGACCGACACCGGCCGACTGTGAACACACCCCTGCGGAATTCGACGGAGAAGCTGTGTTTCTTTTTGCAGTCAACCAGGCAAAGTGGGGTGCATAGCGAGGTGCATAGCCGCATAGAGCTGTAAAAGTAGCTGTAAAAAGTCACGAGGCCTTGGAGGTAAATGCATGTCGATGCTCCTCAACCAGCTCATGCGTGTCCTGGAGGTGCCTTGAGACCTCGTTTGATCTATTGTGCAGGTGTATGTGTATGGGATGTATGGTGAGATGATGGCAAGCCCGAGGTTTTTCAACCACTTTCCACAGCCCCCTAGACTTTGCTGTCCTTTGACATTCACATGTCCATCTCCAGTTGGCAGTGCTTTCAGAAAGTCCATCGTGTGCTGCACCCTGCGGGGGGTCGGCTGCGCATTTAAGGTGCTTTGGGATTTGATCAAGGAACAAGGTGCCGATGAGGATGGAGACAACCGCATCAGCGAGGATGAATTTGTCAGGCTCGGCATGGCTGGGGAGGAAAAGAGGGAAGGAAGGAGGAGAGAGTCCACGTTTCGGCCGGTGAACCGTTGGAAGAAGGATGAAGAAGGCAGAGGTTAGAACGGCGACTGTGATGAGCAACCAAGGAGTTGCAAAGAGAAAAGCATTGCCAAGCTTTGAATCAAATCTAATTAGAATCATTCAGGGTCAGCTAATTAGTCACCTGAACTGAGTAAGCTGGGCGTCTCGCAGCTGCACAACCTGTTTTTTTGCGCTTCTCTCATTTCCCGTGGTTCAGACAGCCTCGCTGTCTGGCGCGAGAGGCTTTTGGCCCGTCCAGAAGCTTCCAAAGCATTGAGCCGGCTCGGGGTGGACGCGTATGCCGTCATGGAAACAGGCACCTCGGCAGAAGCGAAGCGAAGAGCGGTTCGGCCGTCCAATCGGAGGTGGTGGCTGGTTAGAGTTATACCTGCGGGTGTTTGGGGTCCTTCTTCGGTGATTGCGATGTAGTCTAATTCTTGATGATTCAGGTCCAATAGTTTGAAGATCTCGCAACTATACCAGGACCCTCTAAGGGGTGCCCAATGGAAGCCTATAGGTAGTGTGGGGTAGTCCATTGGACACCCCTTGGAAGGTCCTGGTATAGTTTGATTGATTATCGCAGGTGGCACGTCTTTTTGGATGGCCGCCTGGCCCACTTCGCTTCGCACCTCGGCCTCGACCCTCCTGGCATCCCCTCCCCACGGCCGACGGGCCGAAGCACCGACCGCCGAGGGAAGCTGCTCTTCGAGGACGGAGAGCCTTTGACCTTCGGAGAATTCATGGACGCCATCCTGACCCTCAGGGGAACCAATCAAACCACCGTGAAGGACCGCCGTTCTGGCACGGCGGGGGCGGGCTTGGGTGGTCGGGTGTTCGGGCTGTGACGTCGGCGGGGGGGTGGGAGGGGCGCGGAGAGTACAGCCTAGTAATTAGTGCAACTGAACTGAGGCACGTGCACCTTTGGCTCCAAAAAGCACCTGACCCAGCCTGACCGACCCACACTTAGCATGTTTGAAACATTGGTCCTTCCGAATGTGCTGAGACTGAGGGAAAAGATGTAAATCACGTTTGAGGTCTGACTCAAACGCACTGCCAGATAGGTGCTGCTGCATATGGTGGGGGAGCGATGACACCCATTAAGTGGCCATAATGCACCAGACGATCTCCTAGCGGAAGCCTCCAAGACCACTGAAAAAAATCATGTGTGTCAATGCTACAGCGTGGAGGTTTGAGAGCCAAGTCGCACATTTGAGGCGTTTGATGCCTCACAGCATGGGCAAGACCAGTCGTTCCCAGATGTTTAGTAGTGCATTTATTTTAATAAAAACGGTGATCTTCGGTGAAACTCGTAGAGAGACTTCCGCTTTTTGTTCATTCCCCACACCTTTTCTTCCAATGGTCCTCCGGAACTCGGCGTCCCTTCGGAATTTCTGCCCTTGGCATCTCGACTCGGCGGTGAGTGCGAGGACATCGTGAACTTGCGCAAGTTCACCGCCGATGAGTTCTCACAGCTTCACACGGTGCTGATGGATCTTTGCAAGTTCTTGGCAGGCGTACAACAGCATGAAGACGGAGCATCCCCAGATCGACCTGTAGCATCGTTGGGGAAGGTGAAAACATGGGAACCTGCCACCATGTTGCGACAGCGGAAAGTGGGGTGGGTGAGTGGAAAGTGGCAGTTCGGAACCGCCAGCCACAGCTTCCAGGGCCTTTGAGTGCTGAACATGAGATGTATCGAAATAGAGGTGTTCACCCTCGACCTAGCTCCCATCTTCACAGTAGACACGGCACAACAAGACTGAAAGAGAGACTGAAAGCAAGTTCCTGGTTTCGCTCGCGCAGCAGAGTTAGGTTTTGAAGACGATGCTCCTTTGCACAATTGTTTGCAAGATGTGGCTTTGGGGGAGAGGAACCCCCTACTCATGTATAGCCCACATACAACCAGAACAATTCAGCAGCTTCTTCCCTTCCTTTTCTGACCACTCTATCTCTCTCTCTCTCTCTCTCCCTCCTGTCAGATCACCTGGTGACCCTCGGAACCTGTCCAGATCCACCGCTTTGGACCATCCTGTCCCTCTCCTGTCCCTCTCTCTCTCCCTCTTCACCTCACGGAGGCCATGGCATGTCAACGATGTTGGCCAAGCAGCTGGAGCACATTGAAATTAAGCGCCCGAGGAGTGGTAACGGGACGAAGGACATTGATGAAGTGCGCCTCGGAGGTGGAAGTGGATGTTTGGCGGGGAAGGAGCAGGGTGGGAAGTGATCGATTTGAAGCAGAGTCAGGAGGGTCCGCGAGGGTGGACCTTTCTTCTGAGTCGAAGATGGTCGTTCCACTTTGCCGCAGGGCATTGTGGCCTGCGATCACGCTGCAGTCGCGGGCGGGGGACAGGGAACCAGCATACCTGGGGTGTCCATCAACCCCGATCCCTGTCAAATTCAATAAAAATCATTATCCCTCATTTAGGAGCTCGCTGTGGAGGCCCGCTCTGTGACGTGACCCGTATTACTCTCGGCTGCAGGTAGAGGTAGAGCAGTGAGATCGGCCGGTAGAGCAGGGTTGAAGAAGTGCTAGGCTTGAATTGCCTCAGGCAGACTGGGGCTTCTTTGAACCCCTTTTTGGATTTTTGAAGCCTTGCACAGGGCTGGCTCAAAAAGATCTCATCAAGAAACGTGCCCTAGCCCGACAAGTGTTCGGCAAAGAAACACCAAGACTGATTTTGAGCCACACCATGTGCGAGTACTTGCCGAAGATAGTTTCACCTTGCGCCGGGCCTTTTGACCCGTAGAAACAACCAGCAGCGTCATAAGAGCCTATGCAATGTATGATGTATGCAACCAAATCCCAAATGAGTTCACTTCTCACGAGCACTCCGAAACATGCAACAGCTCCTATGTCCAAAATATATGCGCGTTTCGCTCCGACTAATGGTTTCCGTGGGGAACTATGGCAATGGAAAAATCGAAACACTCAAAGTTACCTCTTTTTGAATGTTTTTGATGTTTGAGGCTCAATAATCAGCCTGATAATTTCAACTGGGGTTGTTTTGGGGTTCAGGTTGCGTCTCACCGTGTTTGCAGGACGCCCTTGATTTTCGCGTCGAACCCGCCGGATGGACACGTACCTTTCGACTGAGTCATGCAAACTGCCAGTTGCCACATGATTTGGAAGGATTGGAACTGGAAAGCTGGGCTATTTCTGGGCTATAGCTCATAGATACCGAAAGAATCCGAAAGACATGGTTGAAAAAGTGGGCTTAGTGGGCTCAGTGGGCTTATGGTAGACCTTTCTGCAGGGCCAAAAAGTGGGCTTAGTTGGTTGTTGGCCCTACTCGTAGAATGTAATGTTCTTTCTATGTTGGCAGTTGGCAGCTGTGCACATCTTGCTTGCATGCTGTATGGAACGATGGTCTTGCGTGGCCAAGCCACAGCCTGGACCAGCCGGGTCGGAGGTCGAAGGAGAGCAAAACGGGCGCGGGGAGCGGAAGCTTCGTCAACATATCTCAACTGTAAAAGCATTGTTTGGAGAGGTCAGGGTTTACCGTACTCGCCTCCTGTTGATGCAAAATTCGATGCATCTATGTAGAGTGAGTTACGATAATGGTATGTATATATATATATACACTATAGGCAATTGACTGTGTGCGGGCAATTGCCGGCACCAGCTCCTGCTGACTAGGGCAAGTGCTACTTATTTTGCCATATTATTGTTTTGGTAGCTTACCAACAGAAAATACACCAAACTCAGCTCAAAGCACTTTGTCGGGGGTCTTCAGATGTCACTGGGCCGAGATTTAGGGCATCAGTACCGGTCACCAGCCTTCAAAAAGGAGTGACTTGATATGACTTGATGATAGATTTGGATGGAGACACCCGGACTTGATGGGTCTTGGCGTTTTCAATCTTCCTCGGACTGGTGCGCAGCTTTTGGTGGTCTCTCCTTCGCATGCTGTTTGGATCAGAGGGGCTCGTCTCGCACCTCGCGCCGAGGCGTGGGCTCAGAGGTCGAACGCCATGTCAGCGACCTTGCGAGACTATAGTGTGGCCCCATCAACGCCCACCTCTGATGATGAGGAGCCGAAAGCCAGCTTTTTCAAGGCGGCGAACACACATCCCCATTCCCGAGATGGGGGGGGGCGAACGGGAACACCGAACACCTTCTTCGATGGCGTGATGAACGGAAGTTGGAACAAGCACGGAACTCACATGAACTCACTGTCAAAACGATTTCGATCGGAACCGCGAATGAGATGAGATCCATCGCGAATGAACCGTGGAATGTGAGTTGCACCATGTATCGACATGTCCGACGTTCGCCTGGGAGTCCAGTCGACGAAAGAACGATCTGACTCGGTGACCCGAGTTCAGGAAGATCCTGAAACCTTCAGTCAGTCAAAATACTCTCCCTGGAACTAACATGGAAGTGGAGTTCACCACCTGTTTGTAGTGGAAAATGGATGAACATGGTCTTCCTTACGGGGCCATTCTCTACTTCCATGTTAGTTCCAGGGAGTGTGCAGTTGTTGGACTTCTGTAAGGGATTAGGCTTAGCCTGGTCTCCTATCTTCCAGTCTCCGCTTCTGGCCTTTCCACTCACTTAGACCTCGAGGTGCCCATGTCCAAGACCTCGGCCCTGTCGGTGGTGGACGCCTTCGTGAAGAAGTCCAACTGGTTTCGCTCCAAGACGCTCCGAATCACCAGACCGACCGCTCCACCGAGGTCTCCCGGTCTTCGTCTCCCGGTCTCCCGGTCGTCGGACCGAACGGGGCGTGACGGGTGACCGGAGGGTGACCGGTCCGGTGGGCGGGCGTCGCTGCGGACGGGGCGAAACTGGCCATAGTGCGGACGGAGCAAAGAGCGTAGTAGCAAGGACGCGAGACTTATGCTAGGATACATTTAGGTCGTGAGTGCGGCCGAAACACCTGTTTTGGGGGGTCCTGTTTTGGAAACATGGGGTTTGAACCACCGAAATATGGGTATTTAAATGTATTTAAGTAAGTAGTGCCGTTTACTCTGAAACAACTGTAAAATTATCTCAGCATTTTGGGGGTCTCCATGTTGGTGTTGAGAAGATGGAGCCCGAAAGTGGCTAAGCAAGTCTGACCTTTGACGTGGTTCTTTTAGGGTAGGAACTGCAGGGGTTTCTTCAGAGACTTTGATCATCGATGAGGAGACCCTTTCGTTTTCCCTTTTCCAGCAACCCGCTGGTGGAAGGACATGTCCACAAGCACTTCCTTGTAGCACCGAGCCTCACCTGAAGGTCTCATTCAATCCGGAGCTTTTTCTTGCGTCACTGACCTGAGGAAGCAGAAACATTTGTTGGAGCAAATGGCCCAGCCACAGCCTTTGACTGGGAACATTTACAGTTCCTCGGAGCATGCGTTGGGGACTCGAATTCAGTCCGATGAGACCGTCGACTGCTCCAGCAGACTCCATGCGACTCCTCCGTTCCAATCTCGTATCGGGTTCGTACTCACATCCACATAGGGTTCGACCGTGTTCCATGTTCCATTGTCTTCGCAAGAACGACGAAGACCGCTGCTTCTTGTACTGGCGATAGCCAGGCGCTTTCGGCGCCAGTCCCGGGCCCGTTCAGGGTCAAGGCGTTGTGAAGAACGTGCGGGGGCGTTACTGACCCAGGCACGACCCGTCTGGGACTGCCAGGACGGACTGCCGAGAAACGGCCAGGGGTGGGTGGTTTTAGGGGTCTTATGGTAGACATATATGGCAGTCCCATTAGTCGTGTCTGGGTTAGGGTTTGGCATGCCGTGACAGCCCCGACATGGTGACAGCCCCGTTGAGAGTTGGTTGCAGTGGTCGTGGCAGTGGGGTGAGGTTCTGAACAAATACGGGTAGGGCTACCGAAGTCACACAAGGTCTTATACATAAACATAATTAAACATATATACAGATCCCTGACCCAACTGAGATCAACAGATCAATGCACCCATGAGCAAAGCATACAGAGTGGCGGGTTTCTATAATGTCCACTGGCTATTTGCCAGTCTATCGATCGTGGCGCGGTTGTTGGGCAGTCTACGAAGAACATGTTGGAGGTTCCGAAGTACCCCTCCAAATACTGCTCCCACACTGATATAGACCCCTAGCAAAGGAAAAAGTCAAAAGCCACTCATGGCAGGTTCTCCCTATCATTCCCTACCCCATTTAGCTGTCAAAGGCACTGTGCCCTTCTCCACTCTGCCCGTCCTGGCGCGCTCAGGATACACAGCCGCACTGGTCAATATCGCCACGGCTGACGAGGAGTCCAACTCAGGAGCGGAGACTGTGAGCAGCTCCAGGCTCCAGGATAGAAATATCTCGTGCTCTTTGGGGGTCCACCTAGCATTTTCCACCCTTTGGCAATGGCCCATCACAAAGAAAGCTGCCAAGTTAAACCATAATGAGGTGAAACATGGTGAATCGAGAATGAAATGCACGAGCTACACACGTTCCTAAAACAATATCCCAACAGTGGTTGCTCCAATGTCCAAATCGCACAGCCCAAAATATCACTGCCCACGTTTGCCCACAATCTCTTCCTAATTATTTTGTCCTGCGACTTTTGTCCTAGCGACTATTAGAGTTGTCAAGCTCCAGCATTCTTTACACGGATGTCCTGACCATAGCATCAGGTTTCTCCAGCTACAACCACGTAACCGTGTAACACTCTATGATGGAACGGTGCTCACGGTTGGAGATCTTAAAAGACTATTGCAAATATATACACCCTAAATCCAAAGAACCATCACATTATGAATGTCATTATGTGCGTTTTTCCTTGTATGCATGCTTGTATTTTTGGACTATTGCATATATTGAATATCAAAAGGGCCCTTATTTGGCAATTCTTCAACACCCTCGATCCTGTTCGAATTAACTCCCAGCGCACTTCCTTGCCTCCCTTTTTGGCATCATTTGGCAATTGAGACGTTGCACCATGGGAAGGTACAGTTTGGGCTTTGGGGATTTGCTGATTGCTTAAGATGAGTTACTTCCCAATTTCCTCCCGCTGTCAGAGCCCAAGAGCACAACTCAAGAGCTCATGTTGTTTTAACTTCTAATTCTTGAAGAGCCATTTGTCAGAAGGTTGGGTCGCAAAAGTGGTCCGACCCAAAATCAAGCGAGTCATTCACTCTACCGTTCGATGATATATCCGCCAATTCAGGCAAAGATGGTCTCGGTCTCTTTGGTCAGTTGGTTCATTTTCTTTGGGAGGGCGGCGCGGGCGGCCTGCATGTTCCACCGGCTTTTGCCTTGCTTGGTACACGTCAGCTCTTTTTGCAGATGCCCGTTTCAGATGCCGAGAGATCGCCAGCCGGGGCGCCTTTTAGGAGCGCCCTGTTGCTGTTCGTCTCGGTGGTTGAATTTGACTCCAGGCGGGGTGGGGGAAAACTCAGTGGTGAACATACTGTTATATACGTATAAGACTTATACGTATAAGCCATGGGGTGGGGGAAGTTCAAGAAGACACTGTGCTTTGAGAGTGTTGAAGCCGCTGTGGGTGTGGGGAGTCGGTGGGAAGAAGGGGGAAGACATGGGAAGACGTTTCATCTGGTTGGAGCTTTTGGAGACGGAAGAACAGGAGACAGCGTCCGAGAAAAGGACCAGCCGGCACGGCACTGCACCCCTCCAGGCTGGTCTTTCAGGCCATACGGGGGCCCAGTCTTCCTTGGTGTTCACCGTGGCAGCGTTTGGTGCAACCCCTCGCAAGCCCGACCCGCGCCGCGTCTCTACCGTCGCCGTGCGCGACGACGGTGCAGGGAGTTTGCTCACCGTAATGGCGATCCAGTTGCTAGCGCCGGTCTCCATTTGCTACTCGCACGTGAAAAGGCGAGGGAAAGAACGAAAGCAATCACGCCAGGTGTTGAAGGAAAGCAATCACTGTCGATGGGTTTTTGGACAAGAGCCAGGCTGTTGAGGGTTGATGCCCAGCTGTTGGGGACCTGGGGATATACTTCTTGGGCTTCTTTATTTCTCACAGTGCTTCGTGTTTTTCACTGGCGGCTTGCGGAACTGAAACGCACACAGTCACAGAACTGTGTCAGCTTCCTTTCGATCGACTCGGAAACTCCAGAGTGCCGCATGCGTCCTCTTCATCGGAATAGGTCGCATGCTTGCTTCTCCCTCACAGTGCCACAGCCTTGGAGTCCCCTGGCCGCGGAGCAGGCTAGACTGGTCCAATGTCCATGTGGGCTTGGGTCACGAGTCCGGCACGGAATTCTGGCACCTCGGCGGGCAACGCGGGTTTGGGCCGCTTGGTGGGTTTGGGCTTTCCAGGATCCCCGCAAAGCCAGGTCATGCGGCATGTGAGCTTGATGCTTTTGAGGGACATACTCCCAAAGCCAAGGCCCTGAAGGAGAATAGATCGTGAGAAGATTAAGATCTACATGGAGTTAAACACGTCTGAGGCGATTCTACATTTCGCCTTGAATTTTGTTTATAAGGATTTTGGGGGGGATCTGAACACCCTTTCGTTCGCCCTTGGAGTTGAATTAACGGGGACTGACCGCGGAATGCCTCTCCCACCTGCCGAGGCTCGGCCGTTGTTTAGCTGCGTTGTTCCTCTTCGGCTTCGCCGGCTTCCTGCGCGTGCACCTCGGCGAGGAGCCGAGCAGAGAGAGTGCCGAAGGCGGCCTTCATCGAAATGCGGTGGGCTGAACCAGCGGTGACGCATTCACCAGCAACAAAAGGAAGAATCTGATTGAAAGATGTCCGGGACGTGTCCTTCGGATTGGTTAGATTAGAACATGTTAAATCATCAAGTTCTTGCGAGCGACCGCACTGGATGCACCGCCAGAACTCCTGAGCGCTTTGCGCTCGACGTGCAAGTATTTGCTGGTGTATTTGCAGGGCACCTATTCTGAAGCAAAAGCACACCAGAGTGAAAGTTGAGCTCTCAACGTCATTTTTCAGCCGTTTTCGTGCAGCTTGGCGAATTCCCAATTAATTCATCCAAGAGTGGCCATAACCATGTAAAACCCAGCCGTCCGGGACCGCTCTTCGTTGGGGGGAATCGAAGCTACGTTCCGCGACCCGTCCGCTACTCGGAGGAGATCCATGCCGATCGGAAGATGCGTTTGCTGATCATGAAGGACGTGCGCCTGGGCGAACTCATGGGCCGAGGTCACTGGTGGATGACCGTCGGTCGCATCATGCGGCTTGGCGAAGAAGTCAGAAGGCCGTTGGCAGCAGCAAATGGGTTGCACGAGGCCCAAAAGCTGCAAATGCCTCCCCAAATGTGGGTGCGAAGTTGGAATACATCATGAAGGAATCATGAAGCGACAGCATTGTAAGATATTGTAAGTAAATGTAAGTAAGCTTGGCGCTGTGTCATGTGCCAACTCGCATATCTTCCAAAGGCTTTGTTTTGCCAAGTTCTGCTGAAATCGTGACCACCTCTGTGGCGTTTTCAGGAACTTCAGCGTGAGCTTTTGGTGCCTCATTGCCATGTGGCTGGTTTTCCATGTGTCCAGCGAGCCCAAAGCGACTTCGTTTGAACAAGAAATGACTTCGTTGAAAAGCAAAGAGTAGTGGAAACGGCTCACTGACTAGCAGGTTCCCAGCCACGTCCAGCTACAAAGGGACAGGCGGTTATAGGCAAGTGTGGACCGGATTCTGTGAGATGGGTTTTCTTTGATATGCCTAGCAGCTAGCATGTGTGCCCTGTGTTCAGTTGCCGCACGCATGCAGCCACATGCTTTTTTCAGCATGTTTGCACATCCACCTGGATATGCCGGGATGTTCGGTTCCAGTTCGGCTAAAGACAAGCAGGTTCAGCTGGTCCAGCAGTTCAGGATGTGGTCTACGATTCCATGGGTTTGGCCTTCATCATCAAGCTGGACAATGTGGCTGGTGACATGGGCGCCAGGGGCCCCAGCATGCCAGATGCGGGGAGTGACCCGCCCGGAGTGAGTGGCCCAGAAGGCATGAACAATGAGGCCAAAAGGAAGTGGATGAAGTGGGTTGGTTCGAAAAACATGTCAAACAAACCTGACCAGCTGCTTCGAAGTCACCTTTTGAGGGCCCAAAGTGATCCTCAAACCCCTTTATGAACAGTTCACGTTGAAGAACCCGGTATACCGAAGATAGACCGAACTATAGAACACTTGAAATTGAATTGGCTAGAAGAAAGGTTTCACAAGGGATTGATATATATATATATATTATATATATACATATATATTTAAATATTTATATATATAGTGAAAAAAACCGGAAGAAAGTCATCAGCTCCTGAAGAAAACACCGTGTCATCAAGGACTTCTTTCGCCAGCCGTCCGGCTTAGGGCGGAGAGAGGAACTAAGATGTTTTTTTTTGAAAATCGAACGTCCTCTCACCCGAAAACCGAAAAGAACCGGCCGCCAGCCGTCGGCCCTTTGTTGGGACAGGCGTTTGATGAGCGAGTCGAAATGCACCAAGCATACCCTGTGGAACAAATGTTAACCGAAGGAAATAGTGGTTCCAAAGGGATCTAGTTCATCCATGTTCATCCTGGTTTTTGCATGATTGTAGCATGCTTTGAACCCTCCTCCTAAGAAAACCATTGGAGTTGATTGAACCCGCCATTCAGTGCCGATCGCATGCGGATGTGTTTGGTGGCGAGGTGATCGGCCCGGCGCAGTGGCATGAAGACTTGATGGGGATCTATTGGGCCTTGGTCTTGGGCTCCTTGGGTTACAAACCAAGTTCTTTCTGCGTCTTAGGCAATCTTCCACTACAAATGCTAGGCTCAATGGTGCCCTAGTAGATGTGATTGAATTTGCATAACAGGAGGGAACATCATTAGGGGTCGAGCCTGATTACTTTATAGACGAAATCATGCGAAAAACACATCAATTGAATTTTGTTGCACTGGTATGCTGTTTTGATGGATAGTCGGACAGACATCGGAGGGAAAGTTGGGCAGCTTCATGCTTTTGCTGGGAGTGTTTCTTTTTGATTTGTTGTTTTCGGGTGGCAGTGGTCAGCTGTGGTCGTCCTAGCCCCGGACGCTGCCGGGTTCGGAAGCCGATGCACGGACCAGGCTCGGGAGCCGCGGAGAAGCACGCGACAGAGGAGAGGACTGAGAGCCACAAGGTGCGGACAGCGGTGCGGACGTCGCGCACCGTTTTGGGAAGCTCAGACGTGGGATTTGTTTTATCATGTGTTTATCATGTGGGATTGGTTTACATGATTTGTTTGTGGGATTTGTGATTTGTTGTGATTTTGTGTTTAAGTTATGTTTTATGATGTTTTAAAGTCATGTTGATTCATCTCCTTGAAAAGGAGATGGGAGATGTAAATTGCAGTCTGCTAGGTGAGGAGAATCGGGGGGCGGATGTTATGAATTGGGTGGTTGTGGTCACAATTTGCCTCATAAACAGTCGGATCAGTAGGTGTGCACCCAATTCAAAATGGAAGGATCAGTGATCAGTGGTGTGGTTACCACGTCATCCAACCATCCGCCATCAAACCCGCCATGTCTTCAGCGACGTTCACGATTCAAGCGAGCATAGCTCCCGCGGAGAGCGCCTCTGGTGAGGTGAGCGCGCAGATACGCAATCTACTTCTCCACAAAGCCGTGAAGATTTACAATGAGATGGCCAGACATGAGACTTGGCTGTTCAGAATATCTTCTTTCCAATGATTGACTCAGTTGGTCCCCCAACTCCCCTGCACCTAACAACTCACTCATTCTTTTGACGCATCCGGGCCTAAGGGCGCGCGGTGTTGGCCTTCGGCAGCATCCATCGTTCGCTAGGCCAACTGAGTGTGTATTTTTACTACGGAGATCCCCAACCAAATGGGTTTTGGGCCTCTTTCCCTTCTTCCAGGGGGGTCTCTTTTGGGAGGTCTTGGCCCTGTAATGCTGTCCGACATGCTGACAATCGGTGGGGCAGTGAGGACACAAGGCACCACGAGAAAGGGGGAGACACGCCGCATGGCGAGCGCAAGTTGGCCAAGCTCCCTGATAGCAGCTGGGATGAGATGAGTTGGTATATGCCAAATGTGGAGAGAGGAGAGGTCAGCTACGATGAAGTTTTCCATCATCCTGCCGTCCGGGAGTATGTGCAAAGTGAAGATTTCGTGAACTACATCTATGCAAAGCTTGGAAAGGAGTATGCAATTGGAGATCAAATCGGGCTGGCTTTCATCAGGGCCTTCCAATTTTTTGGCCCTTTGACGTTTTTTCTGATTCAAATCCATCGGAAGAGTTAAATCGTCTAGATATGTCTATATGCATCCTCATGCCCCGGACTGGGAGAAGGATTGCAATGTCTCCTTGTCCCAGGTGAAAACCGTGCTGGCAAGGTGCCAATGAATGCATTCCACGGCCTTCAAATCATGTTTAACCCCTGAATCGAATGAACAGGCTTGGCCAGATCAACTTTGAAAAGATATTGCAAATTGAAGGTTGGAATGGGAAGATCTGATAATACCCTTCATTACGATCATCTCATGAATGATGGATCAAAAAATGGAATCGTATGTATATAATAATTCGATTTTTGTATTATTCAAAATGAATGTTAAAAGAATAGATATAATTTCCAATTATCTAAATGATAAACTTATATATTAAATATTTGAAGAAAGATTATTTATATAAATTGTAAGGGCTTCGCTCTGGTGCCGTCGATAGGAAGGATTTATAATAAAAATTTAACCCTACAAATCTAATAGATATAATGAACATATCATTTGTTGTAATAAATAATTTACGCTTGAAAGATTATAGGATTTGTAATATTCCCCGGAATTATTTCTTTTTTATATTGCTTAGCTATAGTGTTTTTTGATTAATTGAATTGATAATAGGTATTATTTTGTCTTTCATTTGGAGGAAATAATTAGCCTTAGATTGATGTATATTCGATTTTAATCTTATCTATAGATTTATAATAATTCGTATGCAAGATAGACATTTCTTGATCTTGTATTGTAAGCTTCGTATGAGCTGTTTTGAGGAAGTTCGAACTACGTAATAGGGTATTTATCGATCGTCAAAAATAGTATTACTATATATTAGTAAACACTTGGGCCAAGAGACGTATTTTTTGCGTATCGTATAGAAGCCCCGGAAACATCTTAATTATAAAAGCTTAAAAAATCGATTATCTACATGATATATTTTTTTTCTAATGCAAGGTGGAATTCTTGCAAACGAGAAACGTGATATTTAGGATATAGTAGAAAAATTTCGTGATCTTCCCTGCAGGCATGTTGTTTGTCAAAGGAGGCTGCACAGCGTCCAATCAACGCATGCGTAACCAATTAATACACAATTTCAAATATTAAAAGAATCTCATTGAAAGGAATTATAGGCCTTTGTAGCAATCCAGGACACACATCCTTATTTCCAGATTTCACCAATGGTTTATGCCGCACAGGAAGAATAGCGCACAACACAGACGAAAAAGACATATTAATACGTATGTCCCTTCTGCAATCCGTGTGTCAGCAGCACGGGGGCAGGTGAATCACCGGCGAGCACGCGGGATTTTTTTCGCTGTTAGGGAAGGAAAGGTGGCTGCGAAAGGTTATATTTATTGTTGCCCATGGTGCAAAGCTACTGTGTCAAGTAACGTCAAAATTGGACGCGTGGACCATCGAACGGTGTGTGGCAATGGGTTTCGCGCCAAACATGGGGCGATCAGTAGTGGGCAGGCCCGGGTGCAGGCGTGCAGCGGCCCAGGTCATGTCCACGCAGAGCTCCAGTCCAGGGAAAGGCCTGCGGGCTGGTGTCGCAGCGGAAGGGTTCAAGCGGGGCGAGCCGCAACCAGCCAAAATACCTAACGTCGCCAGGCCTGGCCCAATTGCCTAACCTAGCAAACGACACCATCTATACGGGTTGGTGTCGCAGCGGGGCGATTTCAAGCCTAGCCAACGACACCATCTATTTCTGCATACAAAAGCGGTCGGAACGGGGGGGATGCAGGCAGTCAAAATGCCTAACGTTGGCAGGCACGTTGCCGGGCACGTCGCCTTCGGGAGCCCATAAAACTAGTTGTAGTCGTACTAGTTGTATTGTAGTCGTACTAGTTGTAGTCGTATAGTAGTAGTAATAGTAGTAGTTGTTGTTGTTGTAGTATAGTAGTAGTTGTAGTTTTTGCCTGGCACGCACTAGAAGTTCACTCCCAACCGGCAATCTACTCCGCCACATTTTTCCACCATGATGGTGGCCACCACACAGCATGGCCACTCCCAGACAAGGTAGCATGGCCACTCCCAGGGCGTGCAGGCGTGCAGCAAACCAGCGGGTTTTGCAGTGGGGCCTTTTCCGGGGTGGCAAACGACACCATCTATATCTGTCCCGTCGCTTGGCCTGGCCCAATTGCCTGGCAGCAAGCCTAGCAAACGACACCATCTATGCGGGGTGGTTTCAAGCCTAGCCAACGACACCATCTATTTCTGCACACAAAAGCGGGGGGGGGGTGCAGCCAGTCAAAATGCTCAACGTTGCCTGGCACATTGCCGGGTACGTTGCCTTCGGGAGCCCATAAAACTAGTTATAGTTCTATATTAGTTGTAGTTGAAGTAGTGTAGTAGTAGTAGAAAAAAAGACAGTAGTACTAGAGAAATAGTAGTAGTAGAGAAATAGTAGCAGTAGAGAAATAGTAGTAGTAGAGAAATAGTAGTAGTAGTAGTAGTAGTGGTAGTGGTAGTGGTAGTAGTAGTAGAGGTAGTAGTAGAGGTAGTAGCAGAGGTAGTAGTAGAGGTAGTAGTAGAGGTAATAGTAGAGGTAATAGTAGTAGTAGTAGTAGTAGAGGTATTAATAATCGTAGTAGAAGAAAGGTAGCGACGAGCCGCAGCCACCAAAATACTTAATGTCGCCTGGCCTGGCCCACTTGCCTGGTAGTTGAGTCAGAGGACCGACGGCCATACCTAGAAACGGAGTCATCGATACACTGGCTTGGGAAGAGAAAGGTAGCGGCGCTACGTCGAAATGCTCTAAATTTATTTGGCTTGGGCAATTGTTTTACCTTGCGGTGTCTCCGGCGCCGCCTCGCCTAGGCGTTAGTTAGGTAGGGGTCGACGGATATTACTATTAAATTATTGTTATTATATTAATTGAAATTTACTTACATTAAATATCGAAATTAATATTGAATATATATATTATTCTGAATATTAAAATTGTATATTGTATTTTGCATTATATGAATATTCGTAATTTTTAAGGAAAGATATATATATGATATATTATTTCTATTTGAAGGATTAGGAATTATAAATTAATATATAATTAGTATATATATATATATATTGATTTTTGTTGATTTGCAAAAAGGAAAAATTACACAAAAATATTTTGAATTGATTCTTCTATGAAATTCGGCAAAAGCGTAGAATGTTTTATGTCGTCGTTCCATGTCGTCCAAATGAATATTTGAACATATTTTCAATAGAACACATATAATATTCATCAATTATTATTCATGAATTACTTCCATGATGATTTTGGCGACAAGCAAGCGAAGGATTTCGGTGCCTTGAATGTTTATTCGATATATATATATATATTAAATGCCGGATGATAGGAATATGGGATTTTGCGATATTTTTGGGCCTATTTATTCTTCCTGATTCAAATGAATATATATATATATATATATATTCATGAATCAAATATATTATATGTTTCAATTCTTTTTTTGAAATAATGATTGATATATATTTGTTAAAATAAATATCATATAATATAAATATCAAATGAATATATAAAGAATATTTTAAAGAATATCTAGTTATATATAATATTTTTAAATTTATTTTTCGAATTAATTGAATATTGTATTATATGTAAAATGAAGTATTCTTGAAAATGCGCAGAATTCAGATTAAGTGAGTGGAATATATAATTTTATTGAATATGATATTAATACTAAATGATACCTTCTTCTTCTTATTAGTATTCGTCCTCATACTTATTGCAATTCCTTCATCATCTGGTTCTTCCAAGATGAACGAATCTCCCATTGCGGGTGCACCTGGTTTCCCTTTAGGTTTCGGCTTCGGAAGGGGTTTCGATTTGGGCTTGTGCTCTCCTGAATTTATTGTCGCAGAAGCTCCTTTCTTGGGCATTACCTTGGGATCATGCTGAAATTTGCAATCCTTCCCTTTGCAATAATTCCCTCGAATCCAATTCCAATATGGAATCTTTCCTTCCCCTTTGGGGGATGTACTTCTAGATGGAATCTTCATTTTCTTGTGATTGAAAGGGCATCCCTTTCCATTATTATATTTCCCTTATGCAAAGAATTTGCATGGGATATTCTTCTTGTCAACATTGGGGTTCTTTCCTCTGTCTTTTCCATTCCCTTTTCCTTGCCTTTCTTATCTTCTAGATATCTCTTTGGATTGGGGGTTGGTTTGACAGGCATCAACTCCTCAATTTCTTCCTCAATCATCGTTTCCTCAGTTTCAGCTTCCTCAGTTTCTCGGTTTGGGTTTTGGTTTCTTCGATTCATTCGGAGCAGGTGTGGCCTTGGTTTTGGGTGCAGGGCCACCTGGTTTGAGATTCTGAAATATGTTGGTCCTTCTCCAAGAGCATTTTGTTTTCGGTTTGTGTTTCGATGTGCCTTCGGATCATATCACGAATTATTTGATATGATTTCTTGCGATCTCCTTCGTTGAGATTGTTGTACATATGAATGTCATAGGACATCAAATTTGAGTTCTTCACCTTCCTGAATTATAGATCGCGAAGTGTATTATCATTGGGGATGTCGGCTGGTTTCATTCCGGCCAGGATCTCGTCCCATGATAGATTCCTGTCGCCTTGATATTCAAATTGATACAGATGCATTGATGTGTACAGTACTTCAACCTTGGATGTCGTCTTGAAATTGGGTAGTATTAGTGCGAGGATTTCTCTTCCTTTGATGAGAATAGAATTTCTTCCCTTTGCATTGATTCTTGTCCTCAATTTCATAGCCACATTGTTTCCTTCTTCCTTGGAGTCTTGAATAATTTTGGTCAATGCAAATCCTAATTTTTCATCAAAAGAATGGAATTTTGTATCACCTGAGTCCATAAGCCTGTCGGGATCAAGATCATCGATTGTTTCCTTGATCCAATCAATCCATGGCAATTGATCCGAATCATTTGCAACGATGACTATTGCCTATATCAGATTGGCTTTCCCCAACCCAAGATTATTGATCTTCGGCCATGGTGGTTCACTTTGGATTTTTCTTTCCTAGAGACCTTTGTCGCATATGTTGGGGAAGAGGAAGAAGTTGATGCAGTTTCGGAGAGCCTGTTCTTGAGTTCAATGTTCTCTTGTTCGATTATTTCCGTCTCTTCGATTTCTTCCTCATAATAATTATATGTATCTAGTTATCATTCATGCATTTCGTCATTTGATTTCCTTAAGCTACCTGCTTCATTCTCTTTATGCAATAGGTTCTTCCTTCGCCATTACATTTCTGATTCATCGTGTCGAGTAGTGCATGACTCTCGTTCTTCTCATCTCTCGTCTTTGGGGAATGTATAGTGCATTTCTGCCTTCAATCTTGTGTTTTCCGACCTTGCCTCTGTGAGTTTGCCTTCAGTGATCTTCTGATTCTTCTCGAATTCCTTGATTTCTTCAAGGATTATCCTCTCTTTTCCATCAATTGATGATGTTCCAATCAGGTTTTCTCTCTTCAATACCTTATTCGTTTCAATGAGGGATGCGTTAGCTTCCCTCAATTGGCGTTATTCTTCTTGTATCGTACGTGCAAATTGTTGGCAATTTCTTTCAACGTCTTTGTAGTTTCTGCCATCATCCTTGCTTCGTATTGAAGATGTTGCGTTCGTAGTTCCTTCCGTTGATCTCCAATTTGTATATTTGAATCTCTGTCTTTTGTTCCAAGCCACGATCGCCCAATTCGGCCATCATGTTCATTTCAGATCCTTTGACGAGTGCCAATTGACCATCCTCTTCTCTTGGTATTATTGATCAATGCTTTCAGATGCCTCATTGGCTAGCACCATGAATTGCATTTCAATTCTGCATTGTATCTCTCTCTCCTCTTGAGTTACCTCCAGCAAATTGCTATGCTCGTGTTGCAACATCAACAATCTCGTCTGTAGTTCATCGGCAACCGTCATCATCGCCTTGTTTTCTTCAGATAGATGTTGAGCTCGTCTGCTGTAGGTGCCTGAGATTTGATTCTGTTCTTAGATGCACCCGAATGCACTCTGCATCTCACTGGTCATATCTTCCATCTTGATCTTCATTTCGTCAAATTGAGAATGTTCCTCATGATGTTCATCAGCGATTTGTGCATATCTCGTGTAGATGTGATCGGCCATTGATTCCGCGAATCTGAGCTTCCTTTCGAGTTCCTCAATCCTTATGCTCCTTCATCCTCTTGTATCATTTCTTGTAGGTGAATAAATATATTCGTCGTTCAAGTATTGATAGATATTCTTATTGATCTAAATTCTTCCTCTCGTTGTAGGGGATGACAAGCCCTCGAAGTCTCGATCCCGTCGGTCACAAAGAAAGCACGTTTCTGCGAAAGGCGTAGTGGTCGATTGGAGATCAAGGGCCCTCGTAAGCCCAACAGCGGTTGGAAAACATGAAATCAGGTCAAATCTACTAATGTGCATTCGTGACATTGATAGGGGAGGAAAGTCTTCTTTTTCAGATCCATCTCAAACCGAATCAAGTCATGGATAAAATTCAAAATCGGTCCTCGGCGACCGTCAATCGGGATCTCGTAAATCTCTTCATAACCCTTCCTTGATTACCTGTTGTTACATAAGATTTAAATGAGGTCGCTTCCAATGGATCGATTTTTTTCATTGCCTGAAGAAGATTATGAAATTGATGGCACGGTAATCCCATTAGCTGTCTTAACGGAATTCGCGTCATTGATTAATCCAAATAAATTGTGACGCATTTCCTCCCAAAGCCCCGAAAGATAATTGTTCGCATTTTACTCGGAAATCAAAATAAATATCCATATCTCCCAACCATATATTACGGAAAGTGCACTTCTTTTCCTTATATAATAGGATATTTAAATCAAATAAACCATATGTATATAAAACAAAATATATATAGTTATTTCTGAATTATAATATCATTCTATCATTTTTAAAACATAAATATACAAATAATATGTATATATAAAATAAATATCGACGAAATATATTTTACATAATTTTAGAGAGCGGGACGTTGTGGGGGTGCGCTTTTTTGCATATGTTATAATGTGTTTTGGTTATTTTTTCAGCTTATTTTCATTACATTGAATTATTTGTAACCTAATTTTATAACAATATTGTTCTATTAGTCAATTCCTAGGTTAAATATCTTTAATTCAATTCTACCTTAGGTCTAGGTCAATTTCAAATTGAATAATGGATTTTGATATAATATTATTCATTCAATTCTAATTTAATTCAAATTTATTTCTCATTTAATTCTATTTCATTTTATTTTATATTAAAATTTGCAATTTTGTCTATTCCAATTTCCAATTAATTTATTAAAGATTTCTAATATTACCGTCTTTATATAATTTAAATTCAATTAATATATATATCTAATTTTCTAATTTGATTCCAATTTAATGCAAATAGAATTTCTACTTGAATTTTGCTTCCATTCTAGAAAATGAATATTATTGGAGGTATAAATATATTTCATTAAACCAAGAATATATTTCCATATTGGAAAAATATCATAAAAATATTTTATATTCAAAACAAAATCAATTCCCTAGAAATAAATGCGAATTTCATAAAATTTAAATTTTTAGTTACGAATAAAATATTAAAATTGAATTTAAATTATATAATAATAAAATTAAAGATAAAATCGAATTATAATTAGTTTATATTAAATCCCAATAAAAGAAATTTAAAGCAAAATAAAATTAAAATATAAATAAATTAGAATTGATCCTAAATTTACATATAGATTTAAATTTGAATTAGAATTAAAATAGAATTTAGTTATTTAGGATTTATAATTATTTGCCTTCTAATTCTAATGTATTTATCCAAGTGCATTTAATAGAATAATGCAAATCCCAATTTAAAAGAAAGAAATATGATTTTGCATGGGGATTATTTAATAAATATCTAATTTATGCATTTAATCATTTCTATAATTCATAATTAAATGAATAAATATGTTTACCATTAAATCAAAATATATACAATATATCGCAATTATTATTTTCAATAATAATATCAACCACGCCAATTATCGAACATAAATTTCTAAATATCATAAAATTACATTATCATCAATTTTATCTTCCCCAGATAACAAAGCTATAACATTCTTATTGACGAATATAAAGTACTACGCAATTAGCAGAGCAAATTATCTTAAAATCACAAAATCTCTCATAAAGAATTCTTTGCAAAGTAAAAAAGGTATTTAGAAAGAAAATAATGCCTAATTTTCAGTTAAATTTTTGCCATTGGATAGTATAGTAGAAATTTCATACGTGATTTTTATTTTTAGGTGGAGATGTAATAATTAATTGATGGAAGCATTCCCAAAAATTCAAGAAATCAAACAAAATATTAAATCTATATTTAATTGAAGAATTTTTTTTTTTTTTCATTTCTTAATTTTTTAAATTTTCGGATTTCTTAAATTCTTAAATGATTTTTACGTTTATTTCTAAATTCTTAATATTTTCCCGCGCAAATTATATCATTTAACAAATAAATATATAAGAAAGCAAATATCTTTTAATTCCATATTTTTAGTTATTTTATATATAAAATATTAATATATACATTCCAAAAGTGTCCTTTTCTAATAATATATTTTTTTAAAAAAATATTTTTTATTATATTTAAATAATTTTTTAAAATAAATTTTTAACAATATATTTATTTTTAATTCAATAAATATATATTAATAACATACATATAATCAATAAGAATAATAATAATAGTAATAATATAACATTCAAAAATATTTTATTCATTCAATATAATATAAATAATATATGTTTTATTCCATTTTATTCCTTTTCTATTCTTTATTCCTTTTCCTTTTCCCTTCTATTGTTCCTGTTCCTTTCCTTTCCTTGTTTTTTTTTCCCTTTGCCTAATTCTTTTTTATATTCCCCCATTTATATGCGAAATATCATATATATATATTATAAAATCGAATGGCTAGCCACCACGTACCCCCCGTTTATTTTTTAGATAATCAAATTTCATTATCATCATCTTCAGATTCATCATATCTTTCCTCCTGATCAGGTGTCTGTTTGAACAATATTTTTTTCGATGAGAATTTGTGAATCTGTTCCAATATCATGAAATTGAATATTAAGATTCCATTATATTTTATTCATTCTATTTGAATGTCGGATATCCTTATGTATTTATCTTCTTCAAAATCCCTGTCCTCTTCCACTTGGACACCAGCCTTCTGCAGTTCATCATCATGTCTTTGCCGTAGCTCATCTGACCACAGCAATTCATCAGGTGGGTTGGTTCTACAAGAAAGGCATGCACATGTTCAAGGATTTTAGGACGACTTTCTCCAACGAATCTTTGAGGGTTCAGCAAATGTCGCGGGAAAGGTATTTCTGAGGAAATGGCGATTCGGAGCATTGTACTCTAGGAATGGCGCGATTTACATAAATATGACTTGTGCATGCTTTTGCAATGGGATCCCTTGGTTTTGATGATGTTCTGGATGTCCTGGTGCTCCAGCTTCATTTCGCCTCACAAAGCTGAACGCACTCCTACCCAAGCTCCATACCTCACGCCAGACCCTGAACACCAAAAAATTCCCGCTGTGGCGACCAAGTGACTCTTGAGTTTTTTCATCTCTTCCGTCAAGGCCTGAGGCCACCGTGACCGGAGGAATTGTTCGGCTGCTCGGCGAGTTTTTACGATGTCCGATCTGATGTCGGCGATGTGCGTGGGATGACCGGTGATCCAAACGGATCGAAAATCTATTTTATGAAAACGAGCAAATGAAAAAAAAAAATCTTTGATACTAGCATATTAATTACACACAATAATCGTAAATTAAAGACACATGCAATCTTAGATATCTTAGATCAACACAATTAGAATGCTCGTGTTTGGGAAGATGCTTTCATGACCCACACATGCCAGGTCCAGTCCGCTTTCATCCGCTGCCGAAGAAAAGCGCCGATGGTTCCCGACCGATGGTTCCCGACCGATGGTTCCCGATGTGTTCGTCGACAAATGGTGACTGACAAGCCGGATTCCTCCCACTGAAGCCAGGCCAGAAAACAGTGAATCCTGTTTGTTCAAAGCAGGGTTTGTTCGTTCAGACCTGTTCGAACCTCCTTCGTCCTGAAAAAAGAATTTCAAGAGATAAAGGCTACCTGCCGCTCTAAAACGCCGACCTAGGTGATGAATCATCGAACAATACAAGCCCAGCAGGTCTGGAGTCTGGAGTGTCTTCTGCCAAAGTTCCTTCTTGTCGTCCTTGTTCTTTTTCTTGGGCAGCTTCTTGCGTTGCCGCTTCAGCTCCACGATCTTGGCCTGCACCGAAACAAAGAAAGAAACGGTTTCCGGTGTTGACCTGCACCTGGAGCCAGTGCTGTTGGACCAACTCCCCGGCCTCATGGACATGCATGTTTGTATAAAGTATAAATGGTGATCTCTAATATGTATATATTTATATACAAAATAGTATATATTTATTTAAATCATGTATATATATAATATTATAGAATCATATATAATGATATACATATACAGTAAGGTCACATATATGCGGGTGCAAGCCTCAAGTCGACCCCCTTTAAAACGAGGATTGAGGATCCTCAAGCACCTCTGGGCTTGGGTGCCAATTGCTTCAAACCTCCGTAGTGAGCCAGGCGGCCAAGTGGTCGATCTCATTGTTCCAATCGACATCGGGACCCTGGACGATGCCTCAACCAACCAGCTGCGCATCCCCCAGAACTTCCGCCCCCAACCAGACCTGCAAAGCCTTGCGCTCCGCTGCATGCCGCCTCGGCCGCTGCATCCGGGTGTTTCTCAATGACTCGATATATACTGAGCTACTTATATTATATACATTAAAATGAAGAGCATCATATAGCATCATCTTCCTTTCTGGGAGTAGGTCTTGTCCCCCAAGAACCTGTTCCTTCATTCCATGTTCCATGTGGACACTCCAGGTGGACCCTCCACCCCGTCCACGAAAGATGAAGGGCAGGCCGAAGCCGTCGAAAAGCTACATGTCATCGGTATCACATGCATCCGCACAGTAGCTTACTCCCAGGTAAACACAACCCACCAAGTGTGTGGACCCAAACCACCACCACACATGAACAACATAGAGCAGATGCTCTCATCTATGGCGAAACCGTCCATGCCCGTGCGAGAAAACCGTCCGCCCAATCTCCTCTTCAGCTCATGGCTGGTCTCCCCCGCATCCAAAACCTCGTCGCCATCGGCTTCGGTCTTCTTCCCCTACGGCGCGTCAGTAGCCGTGGGTCTTACTTTGGACGGCTTCTGGTTGTCTCATGTGTGCGCAAGCCAGATCCAGTAGTCAAACTTCTTCTAATTAAAACTGAAATTCCATTTTCCATCAAATTCACATCAAATGAATGACAACTCCTTGTGAATCCTCCTGGAAGGCTGGCTCCTAAGGGTTCAACCAGTCCTTGTTCGACGCCATTGAGCCACAGCCACCGGTATCTGTACCCTGTACCCAAAGGAGGGTCAAGCTCCCCCAAGCATGGGCCGAGCTGAATGGTATGAAACGGGCCGCCCCCTGAAACTCACTCCGACCCCGGTCAGTCTATAAAACATCACGCTTCTTTGAGCTACGCCCACCAGGTCGCCGTTGGCCACGCCCACCACGGTCGCCTGGGCTTTTGCTTTGGCCTTCCTGGGCGCAAGCGTTCGGGCCGCTCGGTCGCCCCACGTCGGTCGAGAGAACCGGCGAGGACGTCAGTTGGGCGAGGTGCTTGTTCTTCAAATGGGTTTTCTTCACCTGCGCCGGGAGACACGAGCGAGCGAGCGATATGGTGACAGAGCTGCTATAGCGATATGGTGACAAAAGACTGATCATGGTACACATTGAGCAAGTTGAGACTGACATGGGGTTTGGAGCATGAAATGAATCCGTCAACGACGAGGTGTCCAAACTGATTCACCAAACCGGTGCTGAGGCTCGATGGAGGGGATGGGATGGGCTCGATGGAGTGCCTGTTTTGTGCCATGTGTTGTGGCGCCAAAGAAAGACCCGTTCCGTGTGTTTTCCTACCGTTCCCCGAGCCTTCCCCATGCAGAAAGTATAGCGTTCATGGCTGTGGCACGGCTGGGACAGCTCAGTGACTCATGGGGACTTTGTGCCTGGAAACACCCCCCCCTCTATTGACCTTGCCTTTTTGATCAAAGTTGCTGCAACACCTACATGTCAGTCCTGAAGTTTCTGGTGCTCTCCGTGCTGCACACTGTGCCACTCGGCTGGTTTCACTTGCGTCACTTGTGTCAACCGCTGTGCCATTTGGTCTACAGCTGCCCGTTCGAGCCATAAGCGAAGCAAGGCCAACGCGATTGTTCCACCGGTCAATGGACTGCTTTCGCAGAGAGCCGGGTGGACACGACCAGCAATGTTGGTCATCTCGAGGTATCTAACTGCAACCTTAGCCTGGCATCCTATGGTTCACTGGTTGCACTGTCTAGCACAAAAAGTTCTTGGCAGCAAAGCACATTTCGTTTTATTTCCTGGGTGCATCAATTCGCACATCAAAGTCGCCCATCAAGGCATCGATTCCGATAGCCATGACGGGGGCTTTGCGAGGAGCCTCCTGTTGGGTTGCAAGCTTCTGCCCAGCTGACCCAGCTGACCCCAAAACACGTCACAATCTGCGTTCTTAGTATAAAGCTGGACAGTCAGCGACAATAATTCTTTCGGAAACTCCAAGTAGCACAAAAAAAACAGAACTGCCTTAGCCAGTCGCAATCGATGTTTTACAAACATAGGGCAGTTTTTAATCTGATGTACTCCTGTTCTTTTTCTATACGTTAATCAAATTTCTGAGGCTCCTGCTTAGTAAGCCCAATCTTTGAGCCCTCGATGCGTCCAGCTCTGTGAAACAATCCCTTTGATGCGTCCAGCCTGGTGTGTCAGGGAGCAAAATCGCAAATACTTCTTTTCTGGGAGACCCAGCGAGGTGCATGGATGGGTAACTCTCAGCAGACTTAGACCAAACAAAAACCGCGAACTCTATACCTGGAACCCAATTGACCCCTGCTTTAAAAGGAAAAGGCCATACACTCCCTGAAACAATCATGGAAGTGGAACATAGGCCCCTGGAAGACTATTTTCCTCTACAAGTGAGGCCTGCGCAGCTTCCATGATTGTTTGAGGGAGGGTATTTTGAGTGGTGGGTGGTCCAAAATAGAGGTCATTCAGGTTCTGGGTAAGTATGGATGAATATGGCATCGTATATGGCTCAACCTCATCATGAAGAGATCAACATGTCGTTTCGCAGCCCTCAGGAAGCCCGGCCTCTATCGCAAGGCGCGGTCTAAGTCCTCTTTGCATTTGCTGAGGTAGGTCCTGCAAGAGCTTCACAATGAAAGCTGATGAAAACCATCTGAAGACCAGCTTGACCAGCCTTCAAAATGACCGGTGGCCGGAGATGCAACTTCTCCAGAGTCCCTGTAGAACCTGTCGGTCCTTAGCCGAGCATTCTCTTCCTCCTGCTCCTGCTGCCGCCTGCATGGGGATGCGTAGGGGCGGTCAATGTTCAGCATCGCCTCTGGCTTCATCCCACCTTGATATCTAGATCGTCTACCTGCGAACATGCACACCATCAACCATTTACTGTAGATTGCATAGTCAAGCCCGAGCAGCTCCACATAGTGCTTTGATGTACTGTACTTTGCATTCAAAGGGGGGCTCCATGTACGTTGATGGATCAACATAGGTGCTCATGTCGCGAACATGGTTAGTCTCATGTAGAAAGCCGCAGAAAACGATGCTTGGCGAACTGTCATGAAATCACCTGAAGCCCATCAAAGCGCTGCAACGTCGCTTTCCATCTCAATCATTGGGTGATTTGATGTGATTTGTATGCACAAGCGAAGTGTAAACCCACCCCGTATGGTGAGTGTATATATATATATACATAAGCAGTTCACTTTGAATCTCTGGGCACAAATTGGGAGATGCATTTCCCTATTGAAAGTTTTTCCTGGAGCTTGATGGCTTTTCTTCGCACCTCTTGGTCTTGTAGATCTGCGTCTCCTGAGCAGCAAAACAGGGCAAGGGGGTCGGAAGCAAAATTCTAGGTCAAGTACCTCCGGTGTCTTGACCTTTCGTTTGGTGGTCTAAGAGTGTAAGAGAAATCTGTGGGATTGCTTCGTCACTTATATAGTCCATTCATGGCTCTTAAAAGGGCTTTGGTATGCACATCTTTTGCGTATAGACCATTTCCTGTATACCACAAACACATATGGAGCTATCAATCACACCATATCACACCAACATGACCGATCACGACTGGGGCACTTCGAAGGATGAATGTTCCAAACAACACTCTTTCATGCGAAATTCCATGCCTTTCCGCCTTCAGGAGGCGAAATCCCACACACAATGCTTTCTATCAAGGCCGTTCTTACATCTTTGCTGCAACGCGTAGCTCACACCGGACTCCCGGACCAGCAAAACATACATGGCCTGTGCCCTGTGCATTTATTTGTACTAAATATGTTTCAGATTCCATGAACAGTAGCCTTGCCCTGGCGGGGTGTCAATGCAAAGGCCAATCTTATGTTAAAAGGGCATCACAAACTATTTCTCACGAGCCAGCTCCTAGGTTGAACACAAAGTATGTGCACATGTTCAGGTGTCCCTGGTAGAGCCAATGAACTTCATCCAAGGAACCGAGTCGGCCTTCATTGTCAGGGCATCACGGATGTCTGCACGTAACCGGTCCTGACTGCACATGACGACATGAGGTATCAGTAGGCTGTACCCGTCAGTGTCTCCAACGGAGGTTGGCCTCTTGCTTTCAGTTTTTGCACCAGCAGCGGCCAACCTCCGTTTCCACAGCGTTTTGGAGTGGAGACCCGCTGCCTTGCCTCTTGGAGACCTGCTGCTGCGGAGCCCGAAGGACAAAACTCGTTGTATCATGTAAGGTCTACAATGCGCACCGCGCACATTATATATTTGCAGCTACTTGCTACCCCAAAATTAGACAGAGCTCCAAGTTCCAAGTGTTCGCGCAATCGTCACGGACGTCACCCAAAACCAAAGTGGCAAGCAAACTCTGGACTTTTTGCTGCAAGGGCAGGAGTGCCTCGCCCCCCATCCACCCCAGACTTGCCAAGTGAAACCGGTGAATGTATATTAAATTACGAAGACCTCCCAGTTCGATCACCTGAAAGAAGGAACATGGACCAAACATATCCAGAAATGACCAAAACCCCTTGCTTTGGGGCCCTCCTGCTGTTTCCGTGATGTCTGCTGTGCCCTTCGATCGCCACCGCTCTGCCGGGAACATCGCAGCCCAAGGAGCTGCGGTGGCCCTGGCGACCTCCTCCATCTTATTTCGGTCGTCGACGGTTTTGGACCTCGAGAGGTTCGCGAGCGGATCACCAGATCGAAGAGGGTCAGAAAGGACACCGGACACCGAAATCGTCCACTTCCCCGAACGTGGGTCAAAACTATATGTTAAACTCTATGTCGAAGGTAACATGTAAAACTGCAAGCTCCCTGGAGCAGCATGCTGTGACCTTTGAACAGCACCGTCTTTTTTCGCCCCCTCAGTCCACCGGTTCCAATCCGGACTCCCGACCTCCCGACGTCCCGTCACCGAACCGGGTCTGTCCCATCCCAGGCACTTTTCAGCACGGACTCGGTCGATCTCGTGTTGGACATATGCACAATCGTGCAGGATCTCATCCTGGCGCGATGGACCAAAAGCCGGCAGGTCCGATGATGTCCACGGTCTGGGCGGTCTGGGCGGTTCTTGGGTCCTAGATGGGACTGCTCCACGCGAAGATACTAGATGGGATGTTTGTCCAGAATTAGACACGTTTTCGGCAACTATAACATACGTATATACCATAACCTCCAACCAAAACGCCGCTCCCACCGGCGTTGGTTGGTGACGCCCAGATGTGGCGCCCCATGCGCCCCCCCGCGGTAAATACGACGCCACGGCGCAAGTTCAGCCGTATCTTTTTGGACCCTGTCAGTCGGGGCCAGTTCACCAGTCCAGGAGCCGCGCGTCGTGCGTCACCATGGTGACCTTGGCCTTCCCCTCGCGGTGCTCCACACGCGTCACCGGCCCCGTCCAGCGGCGCTGCGGCGTGCCATGAGGCTTGCGGGTTAGCTCCGGGACGAAGATGTACTCGATGTTCTTCCACTTCCTGGGGCCCGATTTCAACTCTTCGAAGGCCGGTCGAGAAGGGGCGGGTGTGATCTTGGTGGGTCGGTGGTGTCAGATGGCAGTCCAAATCACGCACATCTGTGTTTCGACCATGACCACCTGAAGTAGAGTGCTTTAGCACTCTACTTGTCCCGAGAGGCTAAATCGGTATTTCGCTGGGGTCGCTCAGCTCCATGCACGGAGTGAGCCGTGACGAGATACGTCACCTGTACGATATCCCTGACTAGATGAGTCCGAACCAAGTCTCTCTTCCAACGAACACATCACATGACAGGAGTTCACCCCTGGGGCCATGCCATCCACTTCCAGACAAATCGATCCTTGCGTCGTGATGCAGATTGGCCTCTGCTCCCGGTATCCGATTCAATTAGACATTAACATATGTATCATGAAAGTATGCAAAAACAATACACATACCAGGACACCCTAAGGGGGTTCCATTTATAGTTCCTTAGAGGTTAAGGGGTGTCCATTAACCACCCCTTGTGGGTCCTGGTACAATACGCACTTTTCAAGTGCAAACATGAAGGCACCTATAGTGGAGGGTCTCTTGGCTACCAGTGCATCTTCCACACTTGGTCCAACTGCACATCAGACCTCCGCTGTCATCTGCTCTCAGCCCAGCTTCAGCTTGTAATCCTTGTGCACGGTGGTGGGCCAGGGGTTCTTCTTCGCTTTCCCCGGCGGCTCGCACTCAATGGTCCGATTGATGCGGGGCGGGTAGGGGGGCCTCAGGTAGAACAAGCCATCCGCTGAGGTGGTGAGACTGTAGTCGAAGCGCTTCAGCTTCACGTTGGGCAGCCGCCGCACCTGGCGAGGTGGACCCCTTGAAAGTCCCACCAGACGTGCAGGCGCAGGCGACAAAAGGGAAACTGAAAGTTGAACAGCGGGAAGGAAAGTCCAAAGTGCTGCAGAATCTTTTTGGGGTGGGGGGGGAATGTGGGTGCACATGGCCTAACACACCAGAGGTCTGTGCTTTCCATCCTGAAACGAATCCCATGTGCTCAAGAGCAGCTCCCTTGCTCCCTTCATCTCTCTTCCCCCCATCCCACGCTTTTTCATCTCTTGCGCCTTGTCCGGGTTCCTCTTGATGGGGTTGGGGTAGCCGCGCAGGCGGTTCGGGTGCATGTGCGGCCCTCCAAAGTTCGGGGTCACCAGCCGCGGAGGGAAGCCCCAGACTGCGAAGCTCCGAAGACCTGGAAGAACACCCGAAGCTTGACCAGTTGCTGTGGCATGTTGATGTTTCTGACAGGGTCTTTGGGTCTAGTTTCACAACACTTAGGCCCAAAAAGCTCATATATATATATATATATATACAATGTATGATTCATACTGTATGATCAAGTACGTCTGCTATCCTACCTTTTTAAATATGTTCAATCAAGATTCACGGTAGGTCAAGAAAGATGAAAAACGAACATCCAGTGACGCTTTGGGATGACGAACGCCAAGGATGACGAACGCGCGACCTGTGTCGAGCACGTCAAACCCTTGGATGACGGCTGGGATTCCGGTGGCAGCCGGTCCTGAAGAACCAATGGCAACCTACAGCCGTGCAAAATAGAAACCTGAAACATGGACCACTCAAAGACTAATTGACTTCTTTCCTCCCAAAAACCAGCCAGTTGGTGTTCAGGTTTTCTGTTTGAACTTACCGGGTGCATATCGAACAAGAAACCCTCGCAAGCTGACGGATGATGGATTCTGGCGAAGTTCATGGGACGTGGGTGGTAGGAACCTGGCACAGGAGATGGGGATGGCCCTTGTTGTATCATCCCTACCTCAAGTGGAGGGGGACCTAGTAAAATGTACATTTTCACCCTCCCGTCCACAGTGATGATGAGCCCCACCATGTGGTGTGAACATGTGTGTGGTACAAATGTTTTCTTTTGCTAATCACGCGTGGTCCGTGTGGTTGACCACAACTGGGTCATATTTATTCTGCATATGGACTAGGTTGGAGCAAACTGGACCAAGGCAGAAGCATTGCAATAATTGAGCAAACTCTTGATATCTCTTTTTGGGGTTAATAAGATTGATTATCAAGAAAATCATGGAGTGCCGAAGAAGTAATATGAACACATATATGGAGGATTTAAAAGAGAAACAATTCTAGGAGTCACAAAGGGGCGGTGTTTGGTCACTAATGGGTACCCCTAACCTCCATTATATAAGCACCCCTTGTGACTCCTGGGAGTAAATTATTCTTCGGTGTTTGCCTGGGTGGCGTGCAATGAAATAACTTTTGCGCCAACAACTGTGGAAATTATCTTGTGAAGTGCGACATCTCACACACAATGGAATAAAATACGCACAACTTCACACATCTTGACTCTATTCACTGAGCTTCTGATTCTTAATGCTTCGTAGTGCGTGCTTCTGACTCTATTTTTCTGTGTCCTCTTACATTTACTTTATACTGTGTTTTTTATTGTGTACCTCCGACCCACACCTTGAGGACACCTGCAGATTGATGATTTAGTGGCAATTATTCTGACAATTATTCCTGGAGGTTGCCCTGACGCGGAATAGTACAGCAAAATAAGGCAGAGCCCATATGAATTGCACTAGTGTTGTGTTGGTACCTGGAGATTCTCGAGTTTAAGGAGCTGGGCTGGAAGAGGCAAAACGCGTTACCTCTGCCCTTGTGTCATGGGCCTCTATCAGCCCTATCAGAATCAGAAAGATGGTCTGACAAGTCTGGCGTGACTTTTCCATCACCCACCTGCCACTCAGCATCCACTCTTCACCCAGCATCCCTCCCATCCCCAACCAGCCCATGCGATTCACCGCTTTCTTCATCTTCGCCCAAGGCTCCCAAGGCTCCCAGGCTCTGCGGCCGCGCCGCGTCCGGCGCCGTCAGGCGCCGGGCGAGCGCCGCGGCGCCGCGGCGCCACGCATCCATGGCGACGGAGCGGCTCGGTGACGGGGTGAGCCAGGTGAGCTGCTACACCGAGTTTGTGGCGTTGTTTTGTTCCCAAAGTGGCCGAGAGATGCTCGAGGCGATCAGGTTCGCTGAAATTGATGCGACAGGTTGGCTGTGTGTCCTGCCGTGATAGGTGTTGTGGCATGATCCTTCGCGGCTACGTTGCAAGGACCGACAACGACGTTGGGAATCTCACCGGACCTTTGACCACAGGTAGATGGTGAGGTGATGCTATAGGCCTACAAGTAGGCCTATAGTGTGGTGGATGATGTGACATAGTGTGGAAGAACCCATCCTGAGGCCTGAGGTCCTGGGCTGTCGGCACTGTTGGACCCGCAAGCGAACAGCCGCCACCAGCGAAAGGCTGCTTCGACGCAGCTCGATCCGGCTCTGCGCGACCACGACGCAGATCGACGCAGCGATCATTGAGGCAGTTCCACTGGGAGCAGGAGAACATCGAAAGGCTGCTTGAGTACTCATGTAAACCTGGAACAGGTTTAAGGCCCAAGCTCAGCTGAGGTGTCAATCCATGCCAGGACAACCTTCTCGGCTTTGGCCTTCGCCAAGAGGTTTTCCAGCCTAGACAAGGTCAGCCAGCAACAGGAGAAACCGAAAAAACCAGCTCTAGATCAGCTGCTCTGAGTGGGATACCCTGTTCTGCACAGGGTGAATGCCCCCCCAAAAGGGTTTCAAGCTGCGGGCCCTGACCATCTCCAGTCCAACCCAGCAAATAATATCCATCTGCTGTCCCAGCCCCAAGTTTGTTTGATTCTAGAACCCCAAATAGATAGTAAAAGTAGATCCCCACTCAACATGTATTAAAAACCGCTGCTGTCATATTCTATGACTTGAGGCCAAGGGGGGGCGAAAGCTAGCGCTCCAGAATGGGAAAGTGGAGGGCAGCGAGGCAGGAAAAAACACGGCGCTCTTTTTGGAGGCAGGGGTGAAGAGTCCTTTATATGTGGCTCTTTGCCCGGATCCTCCTGCGAGAGAAGAGAGAGAAGAGAGACGGAAAGACGAGAGACAGAGAGGAGAGAGAGAGAGAGAGGAGAGAGAGATGAGAGAGATGAGAAAGAGATGAGAGAGATGAGAGAGATGAGAGAGAGAGAGAGACAGTGAGACAGTGAGACAGTGAGACAGTGAGAGTGAGCGAGTGCGGCCGCAAGATACGCAACGCTAACCGCATGCCAAAGAGCGACGACAGGACAGAGTCGAACTTGCGAAGAGGGAGGAGGGAGGGAGGGAGGGAAGGTGGGAGGAAGACAAGGAGGAGGAGAG